GCAAACGGCAAAGAAAACACAGCAAAATATTCCCAAACAACAGATGTTTTTTCCCCATAAACAGTGCCGTAGCCGAACAAATGAGCGAGACTGCTGCCGCAGCGATGGATGGGCATGTCAAAATAAGAATGCATGATGGGATGATTTCATGAGGAGGGTGAAGGAATTTGTGGATGGCTGAGAAATATTGTTGCGTGTGAAGATAAGGTGAAACCAGCACTGGCTTTGGGTAGGTACGACCTAGTCGTGCTAGAAAATGTTTTTAAAACGTGCGCTGAGCACCTAACACTCGCGCCAGTTCCCTGTGCCGTTTGCAGACGCGTGTAGGATGTCATGCGACCGAAAGGAAGGAACGTCGTACACTGGTGGGTAGGTAGCCACACTCCGATTTCACGGCGCTTTGCGTCAGCAGAAATATGAAGTGCTAAAATACCGGACTCCACATTTTTGAGTTTCGATATTTTCCCCTGAGGTGTTTTTCTTTCCTTGCTATTTCTCACTGACTTCATCTGACATCCGCTTTCTTGCGACTATACTTGTCCTGCTAATGAAAGAATGGTTGTATCTTTTTAGAAAGTGAACAGTCTCTGCGGGAAAAGTCGCTGTTGTGTCTTTTAGGTCCTTTCTGGTAGCGTTTGATAAGGTTTCCACGTCGATTGCGGGGTTTTCACGAAGGGGGGAAAGCATTTCAAACGTGTTTGCAGTTAGAAAGGTGGGGTGTGGCTTATAATCTGTACCGTACTTCAGCATAAAAGATTTTAAGGCTTTGAACTAGCATGAAATTACAAAGTCACTTGGTTTTGGATTGCCGTACTGTAACTGGATCATAAGAAGTTCCAAGAAATGACGTAAGGGGACGATTGGCACCAGTGCATTTCTCAAGCATGACCTTAAAAAGATGCAATCAGAAAGAAACGTATATCTTAAGAAAATTCAGTTTTATTTGGTAACGTAATCCTGTAAGAGTAGGGCATAAGGACGTCCGTTGCCATGGTGAAGACAGTTTTGAAGTCAAAGGGGCCTCTCGGTAGGTAAGAAATCACCGATATAATACATGTAGACTTCAAGGCGAGGATAAGTGATCAGTTGAATGTAATGTTATCTATCTCGAGCGCTCGGGCAGGTGCACATTAAGAGCACTGGGATGCCAAGACATGCCCCCCCCCGATTGCAAGTGTTGTTGCACCCACAGGCTTTCCTAGCTGGTCACAGAGTGACAATGCTGGTGAGCGGAAATTGCATTCTGGCCTACCACACCTGAGCAAGGTATTGCCACTGACAGCAGTCAATACTGGGGGACAATCTGTATAGTGCAGCAGAGATGTAATCAGCCCCCTAACATTTATCAAGAGTGGACTGTGTACTGTCACTTTAAAGATCTGTTCCCCTCGATATCGCTTGACACGATAGCTCGTGGCCGTAAGTCACTTACAGTTACCTTTTGCCTCTCCCTCAGGGTTCAAATCCCACCAAGACTGAATATGCAGATGATCTGAAGGGCTGAATTGTCTCGTCATCACCCTCTTTTCCTTAGATTCCTTCATGCTTTTATTTATTGTCACAAAATTAATACATAACTTTAAGTGAAATAATTTTTTTTTTTGAACTCAATATCGCTCAACCCGATTGCATACGCTCAGAAGTTAGGAGTCAACATGCAACAAAGTACATACCCTTTCAGCAGATCGTCATTCATTTGTGAAGAAAGTATGACCTTGTATCTCTCCAATATGTTAGATGACTGCAAGCAAGGATATTCTGGATGGCGGAAACGGAAAAAAAGTCAAGAAAGTCTTTGGGCATTTTTATAGAGACGTTATTTAACTAACAATCGATTTTTTTCTGTCCGGTATTTGAGGTCATTTTCCTTGCGAAGAAAACATATGCCAGCATTGTGGCATTTTCTTCTCAGCCCGCGACAAAATGGCATATGCAACACGGATGAATCTCATGCGAGCTCGGCAACGTGCTTCGACAGTGCACGATATTTCGAGGCCGGGCGGTCAGCTGACACAGCTGCTCTGACTCGAACTTCCAGCCGATTGTGACTGATGGACAAAATTTTTCGTTTTAATTCTATTTATTCTTCCGCGCCTGACTCTCGCGTGCCATCGTCTTTTTCAGTTAGACGATCATGCACTACTCTACACGGTTTTTTGGTTAGCTGTGTAGACTATAAGCATTGAGAGAATATAGGAAGCTGTCACTACAATTATGACACCAAAACAACCCTTGCGATGCATTGCACTATACTACGTCTTGAGAAGGGTCAGTTTAAATCTTCTGCGGCTTCCTTGTGATTGTAGCATCACAAACCACCCATCATAGATACCACTAGGGCACGATGCGTGCTGTAAAACCGACCTGATCATTAATCACCATTGGTTGTTATAAATCTTACGCACTAGTATAGTGTAGTGAGGGTCTTGAGAAGGGTCAGTTTAAATCGTCTGTGGCTTCCTTGTGATCGTGGCATCACAAACCACCCATCATAGATACCACAAGGGCACGATGCATGCTGTAAAACCGACCTGATCATTAATCACCATTGGTTGTTATAAATCTTACGCACTAGTATAGTGTAGTGGGGGTCTTGAGAAGGGTCAGTTTAAATCTTCTGTGGCTTCCTTGTGATCGTAGCATCACAAACCACCCATCATAGATACCACAAGGGCACGATGCATGCTGTAAAACCGACTATAATTGTTTAATGCAGTTCTTGAAAAAGCATCTTTATGTCCCTTAACATTCTGTGATGACATGACGGCAATAGTAACACAGTCGTCAAGAAAAAAAAATGCACAAAAACAATTAAAGAAAAAAACTTAAGAAAAAAATGCGCCTTTCTACATAGTCATAAATGGATGTTAAGTAATTTCCATATATTTAAGACGAGTAGTAAGTTGGTGGAATGTTGGGGTTTCGCTTTGGCGGTATATATTAGATTCCAGCATAAGCGCAAGCCGTATGTCCCTTTGTGAAGACCGTGACAAAACTGACCCTTTAACGATGCTGATTCACGAAATCAGTGCTCTCATACGCACTGAAGAATCCATGAATTCATCCAGAGTTACCATAGCAACTCTTCGGTCAGTCTCTGCGCACTCGCTTTAATTGGTCCAAATTACGTTAAGCTTTCTGGTCAGATAAAATACAAGATGTACATGGTTTATTTTGGAATTCGCTCCATTCTGTGACTGCACCTGGCTTTCACGTACTATTCGGGTTCCATGTTTATAAAATATGCAAACTTCCATTGTANGAGTTGTTCCCTTCGACTACGTAATTGTTGTATTCATTCTGTTCAGGTACACTGTAAATGTGGTTTTTAATTATCTGTAAACTTAATAAGCTGGCTTTATTTAGTTTTTAACCGTCTAAGACTTTAGAACCTCACAAACTTGAGCAAATATCTCTGAACGACTACGTTTTGGAAGTATTTCTAGAAATTATGACGTAACGTTTGGGTTTCGCAGAACAAAATTGCATAAGAGTTTTCTAACTGAAAGAACAACAAATTGTGATCAGTAATCATGTGTGAAAAGACTAAACTGATTACTGATCAGATTTATAAACTTCCTGTCTTAAATTGTTCCATTATATATATTTGATGTGCCGCGATAAATTACCGTTCTCTTCAACAGATTTTTTGATCGAGCTAATATTTGCATGCCTTGTAAATTCTACTTATAAGTCGCTTCCTCTTTGTCCTTGTTTCATTTAGAATCAAAACACTTCCGGGTTTGCACCGAAATTCATATTTACCATATCAGCATTACGTCTCCTTTATGTTTCCTTTATGTACGACGTTCTCCGAAGGATGTTTTTATCATTTTGCTCATTGACCAGTGCTACGTTTTAGCCAGTGACCTCTTAATATCCAATTTAGCCATACACAGCATAGCTAGATTTGATTACTCTCTGAAGCTTGACCAGAGGGAAATGAAAGTTTGATTTAATAGAGGACAAAGTTGTATTCTGCGTCAGGATTTAGGACTTATTTTTCAAACATTAAGCCTGTAGCAAACACATTTTGTTGTGAAAGTCTTCCTTTAATACAGGCGCTATGCATGGATATATTTGGCAAAATAAGGATTTTGTTAAAATCAGCAGAATGTGCAGAAAAATCTTTCAAATAGTAGAATTTTAGATGGATCTGTTGAGCACAATATAACTTAAAATCATCTGTGCATAGCTAATGTGCACGTATCTAAAAATAAAAATGTAGTCATAGATCACCGGTAGTGTGCCCTTGCGATACATGTGTCGCTCATTGCCTTCACTGCGAATAAGCCCATGTGTATAGTGTATGTTAATGTGTTGTACCTTTAGAATTTGTAGCATAAAACAAGCTCCAGAGTGATAAACAAACAGACACCAACAGGTGTTAACATCTGGTATGTGTTTTGGCTAGGAAATCAAACAAGAATGGTTTTAGAGATGTTTACAGGGGAAGGCTGGGCTTTTATTGCGAGCCTGACATGACTGTATCATCTTAGTGGTGCGTGTTTTGTTCAATTGGAATTCACATTAAGTGGTCTTGTTGTGTGACTGAAATAAAATGGCGAAAACAGGCTGCATGCAAACTGGTCTGTGCGAGCATTAGTCTCCTACAGTAGATATCTTGTACTACGGTACGTTCCCAGTGTTTCAAATGGTTACTTCACCGCATCAGTACAACAGACATCTTATCATACAGTCACCCCTTCCACACCATAATGATATGAACAGCAATCCCGTTTATGTTCAAAAGGTAGATGAGAAATGTGGCTGACATCTGGCCCATTATCATTTTCGGCGAATTTCTCACATTTTTTAATATTAACACACCCGTTGGCTGAATTTTTTCAGTTTCTGCATTTGAGTATGTGGGAAAAACATCTGCCTGCAAAATGCAAGGTTGCTGTCTATAATAATAAGCAGGGACTTGGTGTTCATACACGGTGAATTTACCCGCTTTCGTAGTGATTGCATGCTTCGCCCTTGTTTTATGCATGCAGAGGGAAACACTGCGAAACTGAGCTAGAGGGGCACCCACGAGGGCTCGGACCGTCGTCTACAACATGATAAGCTACCGGAATGGAGAACCTCTCGCCAAGCCCGCCCGTTGAGCCTTCGTCCCCATGGGCCGAGAGACGATTATCTCAAATCGCGTGCGAAGGTAAGATAAGGAAAGCGTTGGGAGAAAAACCTTATATTTTTGGTAAACTATGGGCTCTTCTCATTCTTGAATTTTTGGAAAGATTTCTTGGGTCGTTACAGCAAAACCACTGGGAAAAACAATGATGTAGATCATGGCGCATCTTTAGACAAATATCCGTTGCAAGGATGTGCATTTCTGAACTTCATAAGTAGATTAAATCAGGCTGATATAAATGTTGACATTACAGATCATTTTATCTCTTTTATCTCTTTCATTTGTTAAGATGCTGGAAAAAACGGTAACACCTAGGCCTATCAATCTTAGTGTGCACAAGCAGTGTGTAAAAGGAAGGGTTATTTCTGTACCTAATTATTACCAATTTAATACCGTCAGCTTTGAGCTACATTTTGCCTGTTGATCGGAATTGAAACCTCTCATTCTTACTATTGATAAACTAAATATATCAGTAAGACTTCAGTATTGTGCGCATATAAGATAAGGTTTTTCATTGAAATGTTGAAACTGAATTGCAGTTGCTCATGCTGTCGAAAACCTCGGATTTCTTGAGGAATTCTGTCGTAGCCAAAAATGAATCGTATCGGATTAGACTACCCACCGCCGTTGATAAAACAGGTTTTTACAGCAGAATGCCACTGTTCGGGAACGTGCAGGTGATACATTATAATGCACATCAGAATTACGTCACAGATTCGGCAGCATTACATTGGGCCTACAAAAGGAGCTGAGGACATATGAAGCGAGATATGAGACGGAGGGAATCCCCCAGCTTTGTGTTGATCATTGTCTCACTGTAATCCGAGGGATTATTTTCAGACATCTAGGGGGATGTCTTGGGTAACAATAGCCTAGGGAGTGTATAAAGATTGGACAAGTTGGGGGTACCCCTCGGACTCATTTCTTGTTGGATATAGCCGAGGAGGTCGGTGTTAC